AGAACACTACGCCGTCATGGTTTCAAATCATGCATTGCACGGAAGGTTCCCCTGCTCAAGTCATCACATGTCCAGGCCCGTCTGAAGTTTGCCAATGACCATCTGGATGATCCAGAGGAAGCATGGGAGAAAGTCATGTGGTCAGATGAGACCAAAGTAGAACTTTTTGGTCTAAACTTCACTCGTCATATTTGGAGAAAAAAGAAGGATTTGTTGCATCCCAAGAACACCATCCCTACTGTGAAGCATGGGGGTGGTAACATCATGCTTTGGGGGTGCTTTTCTGCGAAGTGGACAGGACGACTGCGCTGTATTAAGGAGAGGATGAATGGGGCCATTTATTGTGAGATTTTGAGCAACAACTTTCTTCCCTCAGTCAGAGCATTGAAGATGGGTCGTGGCTGGGTCTTCCAACATGACAACGACCCGAAGCACACAGCCAGGATAACCAAGGAGTGGCTCCGTAAGAAGCATATCAAGGTTCTGGAGTGGCCTAGCCAGTCTCCAGACCTAAATCCAATAGAACATCTTTGGAGGGAGCTGAAACTCCATGTTGCTCAGCAACAGCCCCGAAACCTGACGGATCTAGAGGAGATCTGTGTGGAGGAGGGGGCCAAAATCCCTGTTGCAGTGCAAACCTGGTCAAGAACTACAGGAAACGTCTGACCTCTGTAATTGCAAACAAAGGCTTCTGTACCAAATATTAACACTGATTTTCTCAGGTGTTCAAATACTTATGTTCAGCAGTGCAAGACAAATAAATTCTTTAAAAATCATACAATGTGATTTCCTGATTTTTTTTTTTTATTCTGTTTCTCAGAGTGGGAATGCACCTACAATGTGAATGTCAGACCCCTCTATGATTTCTAAGTTGGAGAACTTGCAAAATCGCAGGGTGTTCAAATACTTCTGTTCCTCACTGTATACCCCCCCTTCTTTACCAGGCCAATTTTCAGCTTTCAGCGCTGTCGCACTTTGATTGACAATTGCGAGGTTATGCAAGATTGTACCCATATGAAATTTTTATCATTTTTTTTTCCCTCACAAATAGAGCTTTCTTTTGGTGGTATTTACTCCTCGCTGGGTGTTTTACTTTTTGCGCTATAGACGAAAAGAGTGCAAAAAATTTGAAAAAAAAAGTTTATTTGTTTTCTATTATAAAATTTCGCAAACAGGTAATTTTTCTCCTTCACTGATGTGCGTTGATGATGCAGCACTGATGGGCACTGATAGGCAGCACTGATGGGCACTGATATGCGGCACTGATAGGCAGCACTGACTGGCGGTACTGCTAGGTATTGACTGGTGGCACTGTTAGGCATTGACTGGCACAACTGCTGGGCACTGACTGGTAGCACTGACTGGCAGCACATTCAGCTATCTGCGGTCGGCAACTGGTTAATTAATGTTAATTCATAACTGCAGCGTTGTTTACTATGCTTCAATCTGTGAATGAACCCTTGACCCCTGGTCAGACAAGGCACCACTGCTTAATCCAGTAGGTACTGGGTCCCTTAGAATACCCTTCAGTAGGGAAGTACTACCTGTAATGATTGTGCGCATTAGGCACATGGAAGCTGTATGCGACAGCCATCTTGTTCAGATCTCAACCATTTTCTTTTCATGAGCCCAGTGATCTTACCCCCTCCCAACTTTTGCAATCTATGGATCTGTAGCTGTAACTTTTAACATACTTCAAATGAACCTGTTATCTCAACTTAGGGACAGCAGACACCAGCACACAGGCCCTGGTCTGTTCTGTAAACAGCGAATTGAGGCCTGGCAGGATGCCTGTTAGTTTCTAATAACAATAAAAAACTCCACAGATTAACACTTCCCTCTGACCTATCGTAAAACTATGACAAAATCCATCAGTTCTGTCACACATGGTTTGTAGAGCATTTAAAGCACTTGGAACACATAGCGTGCCATAAACCGTCTACCCAGAAAGCAGCCAGGTGCGGGGGTGACCTCTCTGAGACCTCTGCCCAATTCACAACTTAACTAAATCCACACATAATTTAAAAAAACCCAACAGGACCAAGACACATTAATACTAAGTATACAGTCATGGCCGAAATTGTTGGCACCCTTGATATTTCTCCAGGAAATCATGTATTTCTCACGAAACGTATTGCATTAACACATGTTTTGCTATACACATGTTTATTCCCTTTGTGTGTATTGGGACAAAAACAAAAAAAGGGAGGAAAGAAAGCAAATTCGACATAATGTCACACAAACCTCCAAAAATGGGCTGGACAAAAGTATTGGCACCCTTTCACAACTGCGGATAAATAAGAATGTTACAAGCATGTGATGCTCCTGTAAACTCACCTGGGGCAAGTAAACAGGTGTGGGCAATATAGAAATCACACCTGAAAGCAGATAAAAAAGGAGAGACGTTCACTTAACCTTTGCATTGTGTGTCTGTCTGTGCCACACTAAGCATGGACAACAGAAAGAGGAGACGAGAACTGTCTGAGGACCTGAGAACCAAAATTGTGGCAAAATATCAACAATCTCAAGGTTACAAGTCCATCTCCAGAGAACTAGATTTTGCCTTTGTCCACAGTGCGCAACATTATCAAGAAGTTTGCAACCCATGGCACTGTAGCTAAATCTCCCTGGTCGTGGACGGATGAGGAAAATTGATGAAAGATTGCAACGCAGAATAGTCCGGATGGTGGATAAGCAGCCCCAAACATGTTCCAAAGACATTCAAGCTGTCCTGCAGGCTCAGGAGAGCATCAGTGTTCAGCGCGAACTATCCGTCGACATTTAATGAAATGAAACGCTATGGCAGGAGACCCAGGAGGACCCCACTGCTGACACAGAGACATAAAAAAGCAAGACTACAGTTTGCCAAAATGTACTTGAGTAAGCCAAAAGCCTTCTGGGAAAACGTCTTGTGGACAGATGAGACCAAGATAGAGCTTTTCGGTAAAGCACATCATTCTACTGTTTACCGAAAACGGAATGAGGCCTACAAAGAACAAAAAACACAGTACCTACGGTAAAATATGGTGGAGGTTCAATGATGTTTTGGGGTTGTTTTGCTGCCTCTGGCACTGGGTGCCTTGACTGTGTGCAAGGCATCATGAAATCTGAGGATTACCAAAGGATTTTGGGTCGCACTGTAGGGCCCAGTGTCAGAAGCTGGGTTTGCGTCCAAGATCCTGGGTCTTCCAGCAGGACAATGACCCCAAACATACGTCAAAAAGCACTCAGAAATGGATGGCAAAGAAGCGCTGGAGAGTTCTGAAGTGGCCAGCAATGAGCCCCAGATCTAAATCCCATTGAACACCTGTGGAGAGATCTTAAAATTGCTGTTGGGAAAAGGTGTCCTTCCAATAAGAGAGACCTGGAGCTGTTTTGCAAAGGAAGAGTGGTCCAAAATTCCGGGTGAGAGGTGTCAGAAGCTTATTGATGGTTATAGGAAGCGACTGATTTCAGTTATGTTTTTCCAAAGGGTGTGCAACCAAATATTAAGTTAAGGGTGCCAATACTTTTGTCCAGCCCATTTTTGGGGTTTTTGTGTGACATTATGTCATATTTGCTTTTCTGCCTCTGTTTTTATATTTGTTCCAATACATACAAAGGGAATAAACATGTGTATAGCAAAACATGTGTTAATGCAATACCTTTTTTGTGTGAAATACTTGATTTTCAGGAAAAAATATCAAGGGTGCCAACAATTTCGGCCATGACTGTATATTTGAAATGGGGAATATCATACTGAACAAATCAAGGTCATACATGACTAAGCTAGCACATACGAAAGTGAAGAAAGCAGTCTCCTACCTCCTGGGTGACAGACCCATCTAAAATACTCTGTGTTTGGTATCCCTGGACACAAAATATAATGCTGAACAATAGTCTACCAGTTTCTAGAATGCAACCTATACATAAACACATGGTAACCTCCCAGCCACAACCCCTTAAACTGGGTAATTTGTCAGATGGTCTCTGTCAACACTAGAACCGTAGATCCCTCCCAGCAACAATCCATCCCCCAGCAATATAAGACCCCACAGCAATAATAGACCCCTCCCTCAACAATATATTCCATCCAGCATCAATAAATCATCCAGCGGCCAGCATCAATGTACCCTACAGCACACCCCCAGCACCCCTTGCTTCATTCAGTGCTGGAGGTGACGTAACTGCGTTCCTCATGTTCCTGCTTTAAAAAAAAGCCATGTATACTACACACTTGGTCCTAGTGAAAAGGCAGAGAAGAGATGGAAAGGGTAGATGATAAACTGGATGTCCAACACCCAGGACAGGAGGAGGGCTCAATCTTGTCTCATCAATTGCCACCCTTTCGGCCCAGCTCCTCCATTTAAAGAAGACATACTACAGATATTACACTTGATCCTAGCCAAAAGGCAGATAAAGTGATTTAAAGGGCTAGATGATACTGGATGTTCTCCACCTAGGAAATGAAGGGCTCAGTTGGTCTTGCTGCAGCTTCTAATGCACACTGGGAGAAGCTCACAGTGTGCAGTAAAATCAGAGTAAACATTTTCAATGCAAGAGAGGAACCTGTAGAACGGTGCAAAAGACTGAAGCGAAGGCTGGAGATCAGCTTTAAAGTGTTGCTAAAACCCACAACAGTACAATCAGTCTGTATATGCAGTAAAGCATGCTTGTTATACTCACTGTGGAACCCAAGGGGTTAATCCTCTGCATTGTGTAAAAAAGCTGTTTGGTCCTGTTTTCTTTTCCCCTCCTTTTGTTCAAATGTCCACCCGCTAAGGCAGACTGAACCTCTAATCACATTCACATGCTCAGTTTAGTGTGTATTGCTAGAGAGGTTTTTTTTAATCTTTTCTTCGGAGAGTGCAGGTGATCAGCACTGGGCCAATCAGCACTGTCCAGACAGAGGTCAGGGGTTCTGCATCGTCCTAGAGCAGAAAGAAAACTCCTCCTACAAGCTGTAACCTGTGCTCTGCTGAAGTCACAAGACTGCTGTAACTGCTGATAAGAAAAGGTATTTAGCAATTTAAATTTACTAAAATAATTTCATTTCCATGTGGTGTGTACTGTGGGAGACCAGATATAGTGAATGCAGGGTCTGGGGAGACCAGATATAGTGAATGCAGGGTCCAGGAAGAGCAGTTATAGTGAATGCAGGGTTCGGGGAGACCAGATATAGTGAATGCAGGGTTCGGGGAGACCAGATATAGTGAATGCAGGGTCTGGGGAAACCAGATATAGTGAATGCAGGGTCCAGGGACACCAGATATAGTGAATGCAGGGTCCGGGGAGACCAGATATAGTGAATGCAGGGTCCTGAGAGACCAGTTATAGTGAATGCAGGGTCCTGGGAGACCAGATATAGTGAATGCAGGGTCCGGGGAGACCAGATATTGTGAATGCAGGGTCCTGGAAGACCAGACATAGTGAATACAGGGTCCTGAGAGACCAGATATAGTAAATGCAGGGTCCGGGGAGACCAGATATAGTGAATGCAGGGTCCAGGGAGACCGGATATAATGAATGCAGGTTCTGTGGAGACCAGATACAGTGAATGCAGGGTCTGGGGAGACTGGATATAGTGAATGCAGGGTCTGGGGAGACCGGATACAGTGAATGCAGGGTCTGGGGAGACCAGATATAGTAAATGCAGGGTCTGGGGAGACTGGATATAGTGAATGCAGAGTCTGGGAAGACCGAAAATAGTGAATGCAGGGTCCGGGGAGACAGATATAGTAAATGCAGGGTCTGGGGAGACTGGATATGGTGAATGCAGGGTCTGGTAAGACCAGATATAGTGAATGCAGGGTTTGGGGAGACCAGATAAAGTGAATGCAGGGTCCTGGGAGACAGATATAGTGAATGCAGGGTCCTGGGAGACCAGACATAGTGAATGAAGGGTCCTGAGAAACCGGATATAGTGACTGCCGGGTCCAGGGAGACCAGATATAGTGAATGAAGGGTCCAGGGAGACCGGATATAGTGAATGCAGGGTCCAGGAGACCAGATATAGTGAATGCAGGGTCAGGGAGAGACCAGATATAGTGAATGCAGGGTCCGGGGAGACCAGACATAGTGAATGAAGGGTCCTGAGAAACCGGATATAGTGACTGCCGGGTCCAGGGAGACCAGATATAGTGAATGAAGGGTCCAGGGAGACCGGATATAGTGAATGCAGGGTCCAGGAGACCAGATATAGTGAATGCAGGGTCAGGGGAGACCAGATATAGTGAATGCAGGGTCCGGGGTTTAGGAGCACTTTAAATATTTATTTGGGTTGCATTGACTCTTTAAGTCTTCTCTAAGTTATTATTTTCACAACTAAACAAGCATGGTTTGAATTTGTTTATTCACATTGACTCTACCATGGAACATTCCACTCCTGATGGGCATCTCTCCCAGAAGAATAAATGATATGTATTGAATAAATGTAACTGTAGCTGGAGAGTCTATAGAAGAGGCCAGGAACATGCTGTATCATGTCACCTCTTTTAAGTTTTATAGTAAATACAGCTCCGCAGGAGACCGAACTGCAAACAGTTGATGCATCTTTACTAATACTTTCCTCCTACTTTGTTTTTATCATTAGATATCATTTAAAAAAAGAGAACAAAAAGCCATGTCTATGTATAACAAGGACACAGTCTTTGTAAAATAATTCTAGCAATGGCCCTTTCTTTAAATTATAATGAGAAAAAAATCTCCAGGTAAAGAAGCATTCCTGCCGGCTTCAATGTGTCCTTTCTACAAAAGAAGCCATCTTTCCCGTCTCCCCTCCGCCACCTCGCCTGTGTCCGTTTTCCATTCACTTTCATCCTCTGCTCTTTCTCTGTCGGTAGGAGGTGAGGGCTACAATGTAGCCTCATATCATTCATGATCTTCAGTCAGACTACAGATGAAATATACTGTATGTTGTATGAATGCATCCCCTTCTTTCAAAGTTGTATTATATAAAGGGTACACTCCGGGTGGACAAGAAAAATTCGCAATTAAATGCCTTTATTTTCACCCCAGTATTCATCTTGTACCCCAAGCTGTCCTGATAAATTCTGATGCTGCTGCTCATGCCGTTACTCATTGAATAAAACCAGATGTAAGCCTCAGAAATCCAGGGCGAGGGTTCCGTGGTTTTAGCACCACCTCCCCGCTGGAGTGCAGCCTCATGTTGGAATATGAATTTGGTCTGCTTAGATCCATATGGCAAGAGGCTGCAGCCCCACCTAGAAACCTTGTGATACGCCTCCTGAATCTGCAAGCACCTTAACCACTTAAAGTGTTACTAAACCCCCAACAGTAAAATCAGTCTGTATATGCAGTAAAGCATGCTTGTTATACTTTTATAAAGGAATGCGCTAAAACCACAAACTATTCCTAATTTAGTGTAGAAACATTAGTGCAAAAGATATATATATCTATTCTCAATTAATATCAAAAAATATCAAAATTATGTGCAAAACTATTTTTTTAGTGCATAAGTAATTTAAATAATTAAATTTGTGAATATAAAAAATTGTCCAATTCTGAATTTCTTCAAATGTCCAAACAAATCCTTTTCAAATTCAGGTGCTCTCAAAGAAATTGTGCCAAAATCCACCACCAAAGTAAAGTTGGGTAACTCACCAGAGCTCCATGCTGATCAATCTCTAGATCAGCAAAAAAACGCTTTTTGCTCTGGGAGCAGATGCAATAAATCAACTTCTCAGGTGTGATGATCAATAGCTACACAATCATCCATAAGGTAGGTATCCACCACTCAATATAATGGTTCCAGGAGCATTATATCACTCTCTCTTTTTATATCTCTCCACCGAGGTCATGTTTGGGAATGAAAGAAAAAATCATGGTGCAGCCAGTTTTTTTATAAAAAGTATCCAACAATTTAATAAAGATTTACACTCACAAAAAGGGTGTCTTCACCGACACCAGTATAACAGCATAAAACAGCAAATGGCATAACAGTCTCCTGTTCCCCGCACACTCACTACAGCGCTCGTGACTCAATCCTCTCCACAGACGTCGGTATCCAGCAAGCCAAGCCCTACTAGTTTCGTCATGAATGACGTCTTCAAGGGGCGCAATTAAATGCCTTTATTTTTTCACCCCAGTATTCATCTTGTACCCCAAGCTGTCCTGATAAATTCTGATGCTGCTGCTCATGCCGTTACTCATTGAATAAAACCAGATGTAAACCTCAGAAATCCAGGGCGAGGGTTCCGTGGTTTTAGCACCACCTCCCCGCTGGAGTGCAGCCTCATGTTGGAATATGAATTTGGTCTGCTTAGACCCATATGGCAAGAGGCTGCAGCCCCACCTAGAAACATTGTGATAAGCCTCCTGAATCTGCAAGAACCTTAACCACTTAAAGTGTTGCTAAACCCACAACAGTACAATCAGTCTGTATATACAGTAAAGCATGCTTGTTATACTCACTGTGGAACCTAAGGGGTTAATCCTCTGCATTGTGTGAAAAGGCTGTTTGATCCGGTCTTCTCTAATCCTCCCCTTCTTCCAAAGTCCCCAATCCATCTGCTGATAGTACAGAGCTCTAGGAGGCACTCTACACATGTGTGTACTGCTAGAGAGGTTTTTATGTTTTTGGGAGGGTGCATGTGATCAGCATAGGACCAATCAGCACTGTCCAGACAGAGGGTAAGGGGCAGGGCTGCTGTTAGAAAACCATTGTGCCTCATACAGCCAACCTGACAGGCCCTCCCCCTAAAAACACAGTTTACTATGCTTCAGTTATGAATGATCACACTGAGCGATCGGTACCGATCACTCATTGGGGGGGATTTACTAAAACTAGACAGTGCAAAATCTGGTGCAGCTGTGCATAGAAACCAATCAGCTTCCAGGTTTTATTGTCAAAGCTGAAGTGAACAAGCTGAAGTTAGAAGCTGATTGGCTATCATGCATAACTTCACCAGATTTTGCACTCTCCAGTTTTAGTAAATCAAATCCACTGTGTCCATTCAGGAAAGGAAGGGGCTAGTAAATGGGATATATTTACTGGACCCTTCCCCTACTCTCCATCCTGAAGGATCACATTGTGTACTTTCAGCTGCCGGTGGGAAACTGGCAGCACTGCGGGGGGAGGGCACTCAGGGGGATCTGGGCAGCAGGGGGAAGCGTATGGGGCACTGTGAGAGCAATGGGTGTGGCAGGGGGGCAATTGCTAAAACCAATCCCCTGTATAGGTCTCTTTGCCGCAGCTGAAAGTCAGCAAGAGGGAGAGGAGAAGAATCCAGCTTTCCTCTACTGCAGAGAGCCATACAGGGGATCGGTTCCAGTAATTGTCCCCCTTGCTTTGCTGCCCACACCCAGCTGCCTGGGCCCCCCTGTTGGCCTGGGCCCTGTACAGGAAACTAGTGGTACCCCTTTATCCACAGCCCTGGTCAGGGATCATGAAGCCTCATAGGACAGTCAGAGGAGAATAGAAATTCCTCCTACAAAATTAACCAGTGATCAGCTGGACACTAATAGAAGTCACAAGACTGCTATATACTGCTGATGAGAAAAGGTATTTTAGCAGTTTATATTTATTAAAATAATTGCCTTTCCATGTTGTGTGTACTGTGGGAGACCATATATAGTGGAATGCAGGGTCCGGGAGACCAGATATAGTGAATGCAGTGTCCCGGGGAGACCAGATATAGTGAATGAGGGTCCGGGGAGACCAGATATAGTGAATGCAGTGTTCCCGGGGAGACCAGATATAGTGAATGCAGGGTCCAGGGAGACCAGATATAGTGATCCGGGAGACCAGATATAGTGAATGCAGGGTCCTGGGAGACCAGATATAGTGAATGCAGGGTCCGGGGAGACCAGAATATAGTGAATGCAGGGTCCGGGGAGACCAGATATAGTGAATGCAGGTCTGGGGAGACCAGATATAGTGAATGCAGGGTCCGGGGAGAGCGAATATAGTGAATGCAGGGTCCGGGGGAGAGCGAATATAGTGACTGCAGGGTCCGGGGAGACCAGATATAGTGACTGCAGGGTCCGGGGAGACCAGATATAGTGAATGCAGGGTCCAGGGAGACCAGATATAGTGAATGCAGGGTCCAGGGAGACCATATATAGTGAGCAGGGTCCGGGGAGACCAGATATAGTGAATGCAGGGTCCGGGGAGACCAGATATAGTGAATGCAGGGTCTGGGAAGAACCAGATATAGTGAATACCGGGTCTGGGGAGACCGGATATAGTGAATGCAGGGTCCGGGGAGACCGGATATAGTGAATGCAGGGTCCGGAGAGAGCGAATATAGTGAATGTGGGGCCCGGGGAGACCGGATATAGTGAATGCAGGGTCTGGGGAAACCAGATATAGTGAATACCGGGGTCTGGGGAGACCAGATATTGTGAATGCAGGGTCTGGGGAGACCGGATAGTGAATACAGGGTCTGGGGAGACCAGATATAGTGAATGCAGGATCCGGGGAGAGCAGATATAGTGAATGCAGGGTCCGGGGAGACCAGATATAGTGAATGCAGGGTCCAGGGTGACCAGATATAGTGAATGCAGGGTCCGGGGAGACCAGATATAGTGAATGCAGGGTCCAGGGAGACCAGATATAGTGAATGCAGGGTCCGGGGAGACCAGATATAGTGAATGCAGGGTCTGGGGAAACCAGATATAGTGAATACAAAGTCTGGGGAGACCGGATATAGTGAATGCAGGGTCGCCTGGGGAAGTGGATATAGTGAATGCAGGATCGGTGGGAGACCAGAGAATGCGGGCTGGGTGAGCGAATATAGTGAATGATGGGGCCCGGGGAGACCAGATATAGTGAATGCAGGGTCTGTGGAGACCCAGA